TTGAAGAATCGAAGAAAAATATTTGAACAAGAATCGATTCGAGTTGGGTAAGTGAAAAAGAAAATAAAAAAAACAGTTATTGAGCAGTGTTTTTGCTACGATATAGTAGTATTAATCGTAACGAAGCCTTACTAATAGATCGATTATCCATAATCTAAAACATGCAACTCTTCGAAAGAATCTCGATCTATAGTCATGCATTAAAATAAAAATATTTGTAGTAGTTCTCCGAATATAAAGTATTCGAAAGCATAATTTAGGATTTGATCGAAGTCTAGTATTTTCTTATATTCGAAAAAAACTGGTCAAGATGGTAACATTTTATATTAGATATTTAAACTCCTCCAACTTTATTTTTGTTATTCTCAATAAAAAAAATTGTTTATTCTTCATTCTTTCAAGCTGTCATGAAATAATAATCTTCTAGGGATTGAGACAAAAAACAACAGAATCACTTATTTCTTTTTTGTCTGAGTCGCATCGCACTTTATATTAAATTTAAAATACTCAGTCCATGTAATATACATTTAGAATAATGTCAAATAAATTCCCCAGGAAACCTTATGGTTTGTTATATAATACCGATTCTTTTAAGTATCAGAAGTATTTTATGTGATGAATAGAATAAGAAAAATAAAAGCTGTAAAATTTTAATAATTGTTCTCATTCAAATATTTTTTTAAATTCAAGATTAGGTGTAACATGACATCGAAAAATGATCGATTCTTTGATCCAAAAGATGGAACATCTGCAAATGTACCAATTATACCTATAAATGCAGAAGTATTCCGTGGAAAACGACCATTCGATGCTAAAGTTTTAGTTGGAAATTGGTATGAAAATCGATTCAAGGTAAGTCATTTCAAATACTAACTTTGTCGACATAAACTCTTATAATTTCATTTAGTTCAAAGATTCAGGTCATCGATCAAAACCATTTCATCAAATTGCTTATCCAGCACATGTTGGATCTGTACCTGATACTGACTTCAGACGTAGAGCACTTGGATCAAAAGAACAACGACTTGGACGATTGATTCTTGATCATCATGATATTGATTCTCAAAAACAACTCATTAGCAGGTATAATAAAATACAAAAAAATTCTTTATTTCTCTTTAATTTCATTATATTCAAATAAAGTTATGATGAACAATACAATAAACGAGGAGCATATGGAGAACATCAAGTAAATAAAATATATTCTATTTTCATTATATAACAAAATATTTTTAAAGGATAATTCAGAAAGAAAATGGGCATTACCAGATAATCATTGGTTACCTGAACGTAGTGATCATCCGCTTGAAAATACACCCACAAGTTGGGGTTTAGTAGAAAGAAAACGTGCACAAACTCAGTTTCTTCAACGTCAACGTACAATGCCTGATTTAAGGTATATATCTTTTTTTATTATACTTCTTTCTTTATTTTATATATATATAGTGAGTATACGAATCGTTATATACCTCATCGACCAGAAGAATACTCATCACCAAAATATGTTGGTATACCACGACTATATTCATCAACAGTTGAACGTACAAATTC